ACTGATGCTGAAGCTGAAGTGCCAGTACTTTGGCCACCTGATGTGAAGAAAGACTGTGGTGCTGGGAAAGATTGAAGGCAGGAGGAGAAGGGGACAACAGAGGACGAGATGGTTGGATGGCATCACCGACTCAATGAGTTTGAGCAAGCTCTGGGAGTTGGTGATGGACAGGAAAGCCTGGCATGCTGCGGCCCATGGGGTTGCATAGAGTCGGACACAACTGAGTGACTGAACTCACGTCCAAGATTAAGCTGTTGGCAGACTCAGCGGTGAGAACCTGATTCCTGACTCACAGAGAGCCATCTTTTTGCTGGAACATTGCATGGTAGAAGGGGGAGGACCTCTCTGGGGTCTCTTTTATAAGGGCACTCCTTCCATTCAAAAGAGTACCACCCCCATGACCTAGTCATCTCCCAAAGGCACTTCCAACAACCATTGTATTGAAGGAATAGATTGCAACATACGAATTTGGTGGGGGATATAAACATTCATTCCATTGTACCAGGGGAGAGGAGTAAAATGGGGAGAGAGGAGAAGGTCTCACTGTGCATCCAGTCTTTGTTAAAATGATTTTTCAGACCAAACGATTTCCCTTTCTAAGATTCTTATGCCAGCTGTGAAAATTACAACTTATTTTCTCCGTTCTATCCATTTGGATGGTTTATGCCATCCACTTACGTGAATGGAGTCCACATTTACCTCTTATTTGTGTATTGCTTCCACACACATTTATTAAGTGCCAGCTCTGTGCTGCGGAATGAGCAAAGCGCTGGTCTGCACAGCCCTTACCTCAGGGAACTGGTGTTTCGGTGACAGGCATAGGCGCAGACAGACAAGTCAGCCTCGTGCGTTTTGGGTGCAGGGTCACTGGATGTTGTGGGTGCACAGAGGAGGACTATGTAATCCGGCCTTCAGAGGTCAGAAGGGCCCAGGTCAAGCAAATGATAGTTGAGTCTTAAAAGGATGAGCAAGAGTTAGCCAAGTAAAGGAGGAGGGGACGGGAGTTCCAAGTAGGTTGAGAAGCTTGTGCAGAAGGACAGACGGAACCCCTAGCACGTGGCAGAGAACATCAGTCCTAGCCGTGCTTGCTTGTGGCTTGCACGTGATCACAGCAAAGCCTCTTCCCATGCATGCTGAATGCCCCCAGCTGTATTTTGGTTCTACAAGTAAAGGCCCATGTAGTTTACTTATGGTGTTTGTTCAGCAAAGCCTGTACCCTTGGTATAAAGAGCTTGATTCTTCTCCTTTGCCCACTGAATTACTATTCTTCCCCTCCCTGTCATCTTGGCAGCACTTAAGGAAGTGAAGATATTTGAAGAGGCTCTTCTGAGATCTCATCTCTAAAGAAATAAAAATCAGAATTCTGGTCTCTGGGTTTGCTCAGGGTAGAGCACCTTGTAGTTGAGTAGAGGAAGGTTCTTGTTCCAGTTCTGCTATTTTAGGGAGGCAAATCATTTAACCCTTTGAGCCTCAGTTTCCTTATCTATAAACTGGGAATAAAATGATTCCTGCATTATAGAGTTGTGATGGTGTGAGGTAACATCCCATGGACCAGAAGCATTCAACAAATGAGAGCTTTCATCTCAATTCTCATTAAAAACATAAAATCCTGCTTGCTGAGCAGGGAAATGGTGGCTGTAGAACTTTGTGCATATGTGGGGGAAAATGGTTGAGAATTGTGGCCGTAACAGGTGGGAAAGGAAATCTGATCTCACTGCTTCTCTTTGTCACCAAAATAAGAAAATCAAGAAGCTGTTACAAGGAATTTGCCAGGCCTCGGTGTCCCCCTCTCCAAAATAAGGGTTGGATTAGATGATGTTTTAAGGCCCTTTCAAACTGTAACACTTCATTTATTTCAGTCTCCTGAATAATTGCTCATGGAGGAAATAAATTATCAAGGCCCAGGTCTTCTAAATTATTACATAGTAGAGTCCTTAGGAAGTTTTTGAGAAACTCTGATGTCCAGTTCCCAGCTAGGCATGTTAAATGAGGGTCACCAGCGAGGTGGTGATTTTATGGGGCAGCTGGTGTGAAGGTTCCACTATAAAGTAAGAGTCTTGTCATTGATTTCCATCTGATGACATCCTTTGTAGTAAGTCCCCTAGGTTGGAGAATTAGATGTCAAAAGTGAATATCAATAATTGCTTTTGTTGTTGCTTGTTCAAACATTTTTGTTTTACTCCTTAAAGTGAATAATTAGTCTTCTCAGAGATGTATGTAATTGCCAGTCTTTGAACTTCCTTTACCAAAATATTCCTAGCATAAAGACATATGTTACCAATTATGCTTTTAATTAGAATGGAAATGTGTGTGAAGCTCTTTCATAGAAATGCATACTAAATCTGTTTTAGAGAAAATTACTTGTCAGTTTTTTTTTTTCTTTTTTACTCAATTCCAATTCAGGCTTTGGCCTTCAATCAAGAGAAGCCACTACAATGAAATATTTTTTGACACTATGTGGAAATAGCTGTCCTTGATGTGTGTCTTTATTTATGTCAGGGTTCCTAACAACTCCCACAAATAAAACCTGTTTTTTCAATGAAAAACATTTCAAAGTGGAAGAAGGGTGTATGTCATGTGGACCAAAATAGGATGAGGGTAATGAGCCCAATATTGAAGAGGCTTTAAAGGCCCAAATCTTCATGAAAAATATTTGTTGATTTTACTTCACTATAATTGGAAGAGAAAACATAGTGGTGGTTTTGCATGACAATTGCTTGATGTGTATTTATTGAACTTCATCATGTGTGGCCTGTTAAAATTAATTTTATAGGAGACATTTCATAAGTCATTTATATATGTGTGTGTATATATTTGAGAGGTAATAACTATATACATTGTTTTGTTACTTGCTTTCTTTTACTTACTATAAGTAGATGTTCTTGTCAAAATCTTCATTCTCCATCATTTTATTTTATTTTATTTTATTTTGAAATCTTCCCAAATTTTATTGGCACTGAAATAGAACATGGGTTAAGCATAAACCCCTCCAAAAACAAATTTAAAAAACCCCCAAAAGATGCACAAAAAAAACCTGAATATAAAATCTAATCTTTCTCCCCAGCTTCCCCTGGCGGGGAGTGGGGTGGTGGTGGGGTGGATACTACCTTTAAGGCAGCTGGATTGCCCCATAATTCCAGGTTTGAATTTAGCAAATATAGGGCACATCACCAACAGAGTGTCAATATAATACACAGCAATGCACATAAGACTTCCCAAGGTCAAGCAGAAGGCAAGGGGATGGAGGGATCAAAGCCATGGGCTCTGGGCTAGGGGCACTGCATGGAAGGACAGTAGGGCCCCTTTGTGGAATGAACTTTGAGAATAAGGCAGAAAAAAAAAGGGGAACAATAAAACCAAATACCAAGTACTTTAAAAAAGGATTGTATGACCTACAGTGACAGATGATATCACTAATACTGAAAGCTTCTTACATTAATTATTTTTCTGGCAAAATATGCTTCCTAGGTGTAGGGGTGGTAAAGGAATGAGGCCAAAATGATCCTGTCCCAAGACTAGTATCTTCTAAGGGTGCATTCGCAAAAAATGTGGAAATCAATGTTGAGTTAGATGCCGCTAAAATATATAACACTGGTAGAAAGAAAAAGAGCACACATGAGACAGAGAGGAAAAGGATGCTGCTCCTGGGTTGAGAGAAAGAGGTGGGGGCACGAAAGGGACCAGACCAGAACCCCTAAAAGCTCTCTGGTTTACAGCTCCAAGGGATAGCACATCTGGTGGCAAGATCTGGGTTAAAGGTTTATTAAACAGAGGCAGGACCCAATCATCACCTTAGAGAGGGGTGATGGGAAGGGGCTGTTAGGCACCTTGTAGGGCTCAAAGCAAACTGTAGGATCTGGGCCACAATCTTCTCTCACCACACTTGGCTTCTTCCACACACTCACCAATTGAGCCAACTGACATCAAGATCCAGGGCTCACCAAACCAAGGCCTTAATGACCCTAAAGCAGAAGTTGTGGCCCAACTAGCCCTGAAGGGCGAAGTGGTTTGGGACCCCTAGAGGTGAAAATACTGAAGCCACATGTGACTATTTCCTCCTCTTGGCAAGAGTCCTAGATGTGGCTGGCTGGGTTTGGGAATAACTATCCCTATTCTTCTACCTGAGGGGATTTGTGGATTGGAGTGGGGAAGGGCAGGTCCCAAGAAGGGAAGAGGAACACAGAATAATAAGTAAGAGATATCTCTGCCCATAGAGCTCACCTGAAATAAGCCTAGGCTCCCATAAAACATAGAGGCATATTCTCTACCCAATCATGTCTGAACAGAAGGGCTAACAGTCTTCCAGGATGCTGGGAAAGCCTCTTGAAGGCATATTCTCCCCCATATCATGCTGAAGAGAAGAATGAGTGTCTGAATTCAGGGACAAGGCTTATTGGGACTGAGTTTGTAACAGGCCCAATCTGGGAGGTAGAGAGAAGAATGACTGTACATCTTTTTAGCCTCCAATCATTACAAAGCCTAAGTAACTCTAGAAGGAATGGACATTGGGAGGCCTAATCTTAGGGCAGTTGACATTCTAGAGCATGTAGCCAGGGCCCTGCCTTCACCTCTAAACCTGTGATGCTTCAATTCTGCAAATCACAAGACCATGATGATGAAGGCTGCGGTGGGGCAGGGGTGAGGGCCAGTTTTCAATCTACTCCACATTTGACTCCTGCAGAGCAGCATTAGATGTGAGGGTGTTTCCCAAACCAAGTGGGAAGTGCCTCTGAGCTGAGAAAGTGTTCTCTTCTAGCAAGCCAGATCATCCAGGAGAGAGGAAAAAGAGGATCTCATTGGCACCATAGTGACCATCTCTCTGCCTAGGGAAGTGAGTAAGGATTGAGGGGCTAGGTTTGGTCCCATGGTTGCACTGAATGCTTGGTGTGACTTCAGGGCTGCTCTAGTTAATTGCTCCAGCACAGTGTGAGTTAGGCAAGAGTATAAGAATGTGAGAGCAAGGAAGAAGGGAGGAGGGGTCCCTAGGGGCTAGGTGCCCTTTACATAGATTCAAACTCAACAATGCGCTGCTTAGTATTGCCCTGCCGGATCTGGCGCAGGGTCTTGTATTTGTCTCGACCCAGTCGCATGTTCTCAGCATGAATCATGTCATTAGCAGTCTTCTTGGACTCATCATGGGCATTGGCCAGCTCTGAACTGAGGGCCTTCAGGTGCTTCTGCACACGCTCATTCTTTTCTGCCTCAGTGGTGCGTTGCTCTTCACTGCGATCCTTGGCCATGGCATCAGCTCGCAGTTCAGCACTGGCCTCTGCCCCATTCTCATCCTGCTCATCCTGCTCATTTTCAGCAGGCTCTGCCACATGAGGCGTGCTCATGGCAGTCTTCAGCTCTGCACGGGTCTTCTCCAAGTCTTCTTGTACCATCTGAGCCTTCTGCTGCCGTTCCACAGCCTCGCTCTCCTTCTTTTGTCGGGCCATCTCCAGTTGGGAGATCCGAGCTGTCAGCTCTGCCATTTCCAAGGCCAATTGTTCCTGGTCTTCTTCTGGTCCCGGGAGGCCTGCAACAGGGCCTCCTTGGCCTCTTCAGTTTCTTGACGCTCTTTGGCCAGTTTTTCAGCCTCACTCTGGGCACGCTTTCGCTCCTGTTCAAGTTCCAGAGCCCTGCGGGTCTGTTCTTCCAGTTCTTGTTGAGCCTTCTTAGTGTGTTCCTCGATTTGCTTCAGCTTCTCCATCAGTTCCTCCTTTTCCCGTTCAATCTTCTCTTTCTCCTTTTCTGCCATCTCACGTTTCTTCTTTTCATTTTCCAGCTGAGCACGCTCCATCTGCTTCTGGCGCTTCTCCTCCAGAGCCTGTGCCTTCATCTGCTGTACTTCAGTGGTGTCGGGCTTGCGACGGTGCGTGTATAGCTCATGGTTCCCCATGCACAGAGCCAGGATCCGTTTGTTAATCCGCAGCCGAGGAGCATAGAAAACAAAGTCCGGGGCTCTTTTGTCAATGGGCTTGATGACAAATTTCTTGTCGTTGAAAGAGATGTTCCTGATTTCACTCCAGGGGAAGCCTATCTTAGGAGTCAGTCTGTCATTCTGCTCATAGATGTTGAGACCCAGGGCATCCACCCCCAGCCACAGCTCTGAGCCTTTCTTGTTCTTGATGTTGAAGTAGTTCACACCATACATCTCCAGATCCTGGGCTATCTTCAGATACTCCAGGACAGCATCCTCCCTGAGCATGCCTGGGTGCTCCTCATGCCACACCTGGATCCTTTCCTCCCACTGGTCCTTGTTAAGCTTGTGCTGCTCCAGGACCCTCTGTGGCAGCAACTTGTCCCCAGCCAAGTAGCCAGACTTGTGGACTTCCTTACTGAAGTCACCATACTTGGACTGGACAGCATAGGAGGCCAGCAACACAGCAGTCTCAGGTGGGCAGTAAATATCATCATTGAGAATGCCCTCCTTCACTTGCAGGAAGAATAGTCGCTGTGTGATGTCCTGGATCAACTCTTCAGATACATCCTCAGGGTAGAACTTGGCCCGGAACTTGAAAAGCAGAGGGCTTTCCTTCCGCACATCCTGGGCAGTCACCTTCTTGTTGAGTTTCAACCAAGTAGAGAAACCCTTAGTGTCCTGGTACTGCAGACCAAAAAACCAAACTTACCTCAGGCCGATAGTTTTCACCACCTGGTCAAACAGCTGCTTGCCGGTGGTGTTGGGCTGGATGGCAAACTCCAGCTCAGCATCCATGGTGGTCACATGCACATTGATCGTCTTGGGCATGGTGGCGACAAAGGCAGCAGAGTTGGCGAAGTTTGGCCAGGAGCTGTCGGACGGCGCTGAGCACGCAGTACACACGGCTGACTCCGGGGACTGGGGGTTCGGATTCATTCTCCATCATTTTAATGACTATATATAGTATTCTTAATTTTCAATACATGAGAACTTACTTAATCTCATTATTGAGCATTTAGATTATTTCCAACTTTTTCATACATTCCAGTGAACAGCCTTGTTCATGTATCTTCTTGCCTTTGTACAGTTATCTCTTTAGGATGAATTCATAGAAGTGGGATAACTGGGTAAAATAGTGCTCATAATTTTAGAGATTTTGATACATATCACCAAATTGTTTTGAAGGCAGTACCAATTTATACTCCTACCTGTGCAATTATTTCTTTTCAAATTCTTTTGAAAATTTGAAAAGCAAATTCTTTTCGGCAATAGAGTGTTGTGAATCAATTGAAATCCGAAGTAAAATGGTCCCCTTACATCAACTCAGCAAATACGTTCCTAACTCTAAGCTCATTCTGCAACATAAAATGCTAGCCACAGCTAAACACATATTGCGGTAACAAGGGTGGGAGGCCGAGGGAATGAAGAGGAGAAAGAGGTTGTCAACAACGGGCTTAGAAGAAATTCACCTTTTTTCTCTTGCCAGTGTCTGACCCAACCTCTCGGACAATGAGCTTCCTCCCCAAGAAAAGTCAAGGCTGGAAAGAAGGGGAAACTAGAAATTCTGTTTAAAATTCCACTGGGTCTTGTATTTGAGATTGGCAACACGGAGGCATTCCAGATGGCTCTGTCTATTCTTTTGAACCTACCCTTTGATCTTGTTTAAATTTCCTCCTCATTTCACCTGTCTGGGTTTATTGCCTGGAAAACAAGCAGGTGAACATATTAGCTCTTCCTTAAAGTGCCCCTAGACTACAGGAAATTTATGTTCAGGTCAGGAATCATTTAACATGACTACATGCTCCACATTTATGGGCAAGTCAAGCTACAGGGAATTTTATGCTGGGATTTATGACACAAACTTGTAGCAGACACATTGTGAGGTGGGAGGGAATTTTAAATAAGGAAAAACTCTGCCATTAATATTGATTCAAGTTCTCCACTTGATGGAAAAAACACGTAAGAATTTTATTCTGGAAATTGCCTGTGAGTTAAACAAGGGGCAGGAAAACAAAAATATTATAAACACATCACCCCTCCTCCCCCATATATTGATTCCCCTCTTTCAGATGAAGTGAGTTTTCTAGTCAGTCAGTGTTACAGGCCAGAATTATCTAAAAGCTTTAAAGCTGATTCTTTAGTGAACTTGATCCCCATTAATTCCAGTAGGAAAGGGGGAAGAAAAGAGAAATGTGTGTCGAGTTGAGAGGGCAAGATTTCTCCATTTTCTTAAAAAACTGACCTTCACCTATGGATCTGTCTTTACAGCCCATAACAGCCAACACAAAGGAGAATGCCAGCTGGAATCGTTCAGTGAAGGTAAAGGCTTTCAAAGCCCTGGCTGGCAGCAGGTGGAATATGCATTAGGGGTGCTTTTATTGTTCAAATAGTACTTATTTTCCATGGGAAGCAATAGGATTCTTATATAGTCAATAAAGAGCATATTCAGGAGTTGTGCCCTTTAGCCAGCAAGGCTGATGGTTTCTAATGACTCTGGCATCCATTACCCATAGAACTCAGAAAACCAAAGTACCCACGGCCATGGGTCCTGGCTTGCTTCTTCAGACCCACGTCGAGGCCATATGTATACAGCCTGAGGGCCAGAATGATTTCAGAGTCTTGGGCTCCTGGTCAGTGATTGCTTGGAAAACTGCTCCTCCAAGCTAAACTAGCTTCTCTCTGATCACTGCTTGTTTGGCCAGCGACACCACTTGGGTGGATAAGCTGTGTGTGAACTGGGGAGGCTTTGAGTAAATTGTCTTGTTTGTCCTGATAACATCTTTGTTTAGGAGTTATAGCTATTTCCATCCCAAAAAAGGTGGGTGGTGGTGGTGAGCAGATGGAAGAGGAGGGGATTCCTAACTGGTCCCCTGTCTTGAGAGTTCAGGGATTCTAGGGAAGGTGAACGGTGTCCAATGCCAGGAGGAATCAGATCGTATGCTCCTTGAGGGGAGGCTATGCTGGTTTTGTTCCCCACTCTTCTTTCAGTCTGGCACCCAGTAGGAGCTTCTTAAATGTGTCATGTTGCCCAAGATCAGGTAGCATGGTAGAGGGTGATGCCACCAATTGTGACAGCAGTAAGCTGGAAAGCTTTGCTACCTACAGAGGAATACTCAAGGGACTTAAAACTATGAAAAATGGTTCCCAGCATTAATTTCTACTTTTTCTCACTATGTGCGTCTTGGGCTGAAGTGGCGCAAGAGGTGGCTTGTTTAGGATGCTTGATTCATCATTGCTGAGAAGTCAGTGAAAGCTCGCGTTCTGAGCCCAAGGACTTTCTTCCCTGCTTTGTGTTAAATACAGAATAAGGAGCCGGATCCTCACTGAAGAGGGAATGCACGGCTCAGGGCAGTGGTTCCCAAACCGGAGTGTGCATCAGAATCATCTGCCGGGCTCGGTGAAACACAGATGCCTGGGTCCCACTTCTCGAGTTTCTGACTCAGTGGGTTTGGGGAGGGGCTGAGGGTACATGTGTCTAAGAAGTTCCCAACTGGTGCTGATACTGCTCTTCTGGGTCTGGACTTTGAGAGCCAGTGGACTCAGAGGAAAAAGCACTCACACTGGAGTCAGTTAAGCTGGACTCCTGTCTTGCTGTGTGACCTTGGTCAGGTCAACTTTGCGTAACCTCAGTTTCCTCATTTGTAACATGGGGGCAGTTTCCACCTCACAGGACTGTTGTGAGGATGAAGTGGAATAAAGTAACTAACATGGCTGGTCCTTGGTATTCACTCACTCGCTTCAAAAATCTGAGACCTTTCTCCCTGACTCCTCCTGTGGGTTCCTCAGACAACACAGGGCCTGTTTGAGGGCTTATGCCTTGTGAACTGAGCATCTGCTCTGTTAGTTTCATATTGAGTCCCTTGGACTGCAAGGGGATCAAACCAGTCAGTCATAAAGAAAATCAGTCCTGAATATTCTTTGGAAGGACAGATGCTGAAGCTGAAGCTCCAATACTTTGGCCACCTGATGCTAAGAACTGATTTGTTGGAAAAGACCGTGATGCTGGGAAAGATTGAAGGCAGGAGGAGAAGGGGACGACAGAGGATGAGATGGTTGGATGGCATCACCGACTTGATGAACATGAGTTTGAGCAAGCTCTGGGAGTTGGTGATGGACAGAGAAGCCTGGTGTGCTGCAGTCCATGGGGTCGCAAAGAGTCAGACACGACTGAGCATCTGAATTGACTGACCGCTTGTTTACATATCCTGAGGGTTTTACTGTTGCTGAACACTTGCTTTGTGAATGGCACAGTGTGGGAGTCTTTTTACATTATGTGTAACACTGGATGTTATTCCTGTTTAACAGATGAGGATGAATAACTTGCACACAAAGCCACAGCTAGTAAGTGGCAGAGCTGAAGTGTTTACACCAAGGCCTCCTCCCCACAAGGCTCTTGGCTTCTTTGTAATAGTGCTTCCCATGATTCCATGTGGGCCAAGATTATTAGGCCCTTTTCTCTGATTACTCACTCACATGGTGTATCTGGACTTCCCTGGTGGTTCAGCTAGTAAAGAATCCTCCTGCAATGCAGGAGACCCGGGTGTTACTCCTGGGTCGGGAAGTTCCCCCGGAGAAGGGATAGGCTGTCAACTCCAGATTTCTTGGGCTTCCCTGGTGGCTCAGATGGTAAAGAATCGGCCTGCAATGCGGGAGATGTGGGTTCAATCCCCGGGTTGGGAAGATCCCCTGGAGGAGGGCATGGCCACCCACTCCAGTACTCTTGCCTGGAGAATCCCATGGACAGAGGGGCCTGGTGGGCTGCAGTCCACGGGGTCACAAAGAGTCAGACACGACTGAGCAACAGCATGGCATGGTGTATCTATCTACACAGGGAACACATCTGAGAATTAAGCAATTATTCTGAGGATGTGAGTGAAAGGGGATTAGATTTCTTGTGTGTCTTGAAACCTGGTACTCCGTTGCATTCATCACACATGCTGCTTGGTGCACAGAGGAGCTCCATGAATACTTGTGGAATTAACAGAGGCTCTGAAGGTCCAGACCAACTGACACCCTCTTCTGCCTTAAAATTACTGGGTTCCCTCCTTAAATGATGCTGAAGTTCTAATACTGTGGCCACCTGATGCAAAGAGCTCACTCATTGGAAAAGACCCTAATGCTGGAAAAGATTGAAGACAAAAGGAGGAGAGGGTGGAAAGGATGAGATGGCTAGACAGCACCACCAACTCAATGGACATGAATTTGAGCAGACTGTGGAAGATAGTGAAGGACAGGGAAGTCTGGTGTGCTACAGTCCATGGGGTTGCAAAGAGTTGGACATGATTCAGCTACTGAACAACAACTCCTTAAAAATGACCGATCAGATTTGCCTTATTATCATTCATATGCACCAATTAGCTGTGGTTCCTGAATAGTTCTGAAGATTCCCTTTTTAAAATTAGTTAATTAATTGATTAGGCTATGCCCAGTCTTAGTTACTGCATGTGGGATCTTTAGTTGTGGCATGTGAGCTCTTAGTTGCAGCATGTGGCTTCTAGTTCCCTGACCAGGGACCAAACCTGGGCCTTCTGCATTGGGAGAATGGAGTCTTAGCCACTGGACCACCAGGGAAGTCCCAGTGAAGATTCTCTTCAGTGTTGATTTAGAACTTTGGCTGAAAAGGATCCGCAGTTGTTAGTTACTCCCCTTCCCTGGATAACTTGCACTCATGATTTGATTTACCAAACAATTTGGTAAAGCAAACCAGGGAGCCTTATCACCAGAAGATCGTTTTTGAATCCTTGCAGGTGAAATTTCAGCTCTGCTCTGTAAGATAACCTTGAATCTTTCCATACTGAATCCTGGGTGCATAGAGAGATAGTTCTCAA